CTCTGTCTCAAAATAAATAAATAAATAAATAAATACCTTCAGATGAAGCTTATGCATTCTTATATGGGAAGATGTCTAAAAGTGGAAAGGGGGGGTTTCCTTTATACCTGATATTTCTACTTGAATTTCCTAGTGGTAACCCTTTACTTTTAAATTTTAAGAATATTTAAATGTTTAAAAATATAATTAAATAAAATAATATTCATTGTTACCAGGTCTCCGGCAAGAATATGCAGCGACCACGTCTCGGCGCAGTTCTGGCTCTTCCTGCAATTCTACCAGGCGGGGCACTTTCAGTGATCAGGAGCTTGATGCACAGAGTCTAGACGATGAAGATGACAACATGCATCATGCTGTGTACCCTGCAGTGAACAGGTTTTCACCGTCACCGCGCAATTCACCTCGGCCCTCACCTAAGCAGTCACCCAGAAATTCTCCTCGCTCACGGTCTCCTGCTCGGGGAATAGAATACAGCAGAGTGTCCCCACAGCCTATGATTAGCCGCTTACAGCAGCCTCGCCTTTCACTTCAAGGCCATCCCACAGATTTACAGACAAGCAATGTCAAAAATGAAGGTAAAACATAGCAGATTTTACTAATATGAGAATGTTTCTGGAAAAAAGTTGTCCTTAATATTTCAACTAAAAAGTGATGTAATTTTTACCAAGGTTTTGTATTTCATTTAAGTAAATCAAGAGTTTAGTCAAGCTTACCATTTTATTAATAGTGAATTAATGCAAAAATAAAGGAAAAAATTGAATTTAATTTTACTTTGTTAGTTTTTTTTTGAGACAAAGTCTCACTTTGTCACCCTGGGTAGAGTACTGTGGCATCATAGCTCATAGCAACTTCAAATTCTTGGGCTCAATTAATCCTCTTGCCTCAGCCTCCCAAGTAGCTGGGACTACAGGCACCTGCCACAATACCCAGCTATTTTTAGAGACAGGGTCTGGCTCTGGCTCAGGCTGGTCTCGAACTCCTGAGCTCAAGCAATCTACCCACCTCAGCCTCCCAGAGTGCTGGGATTATAGGCGTGAACCACCACACATGGTCCTTTACTTGGTTATGTTACTGTTACTTTTTCTTTATTTTACTCATAAAGTTACCCATATATAGGTTTTTATTTATACAATTTGTGGTTCTCTTCAAGAGTTGGTTCTCAGCTCGGCGCCTGTGGCTCACGTGGCTAGGGCACCAGCCATATACACCTAAGGTAGCGGGTTTGAATCCAGCTCGGGCCACCGAAAAACATTAAGAGCGGCAACAACAAAATAGCCAGGGGTTG